AGAATACCCAGGGCTTTCATTGTCCTTCTTTCAACCAAGCCTTCGTGCTGCGTGAGAGCCCCATGTCCCGCCGACGGCACCGGGGAGCAGAGGGGCGCCCCGCCACTAAGACCAGCAAGGGCAAGCTCTGCAATCCGGCCTCAAGAACCGAACGCCTTCCGGCCAACGTCTTTCAGGTCCCCTTGCCGAAGGCGGTCTGAGGGCCTATCCGAGACCTGGAAGGAAAAGAATATATACTGTATATTTTTTAAAAATATGGTGGGGTCTGTTGCGGTGGGCGGTCAGTACTGCAGGTCTGTCTCAGGGCGGGAGGGTCCCCGTCTTGAGGAGGAGGAACGTGACGCGGGTCTCTAGGTGAGGCTGGTGGTGGAACTGCTTGTCGCGCTGTTGCGCTTCTGAAGGCATTTGACGGCGCTGGGGACCTGCAAACCGGAGACGACGTGGAAGCTGCCGCACCAGACCTGGCGGGGAGAAAAGGAAGAGCCGCGGTGAGCAAAGCTTGCAGCAGGTCCGAAGAGCCGTAGAAATTCAGTGGGGTATCGACCAAAACAAGGAGTCAGACCTTGAGAGGCAGGTGTGTGTCAAAAAAGTCAAGATGGCGGCCAGAACTGCACCAAGGCCCTCTGTGTTGGGTCTTTGTGGGGGCGTGGGTCTGCCATTTTGACTTTTTCGACCCCCTCCCACGGACGCTCCTACTGAGCGATGCATTTATCTTAAGAGCAGTGCTGCTGTTGCCAGTGCATTTCTTTCTGGAGGAAAACAGTGGAGTTTGTATCAGTTCCCGTAGTTTTCGATAATTTTTCAGCGCTCCATTGAGAGTCTAGTGCTGATTTTTTTTTCCCCTGGATGTTTATTTTGTACAACCGCTGTATTATTCTATTTCTAACTGCCTCTTACTGTATGATGCCCAGGTTCGAGATGGAATCAGTCAGTCTATAAATTAAATTAAATTAAATTAAATTAAATTAAATTAAATTAAATTAAAGTAAAGTAAAGTAAAGTAAAGTAAAGTAAAGTAAAGTAAAGTAAAGTAAAGTAA